GGTCCACTACTACTCACAGGAGAGGTATGGGGTCCACTACTACTCACAGGAGACGTATGGGGTCCACCACCACGCACCGCATAGGTAAGGGCTCCACTATAATTCGCAGGATGGATATAGGATGGGTAATAGATTAATTAGACTCTTGTGGATAGAGAGTTGAAGGGGGAGAAGGGAGTGGGGTTGGGGAGAGAGAGAGAGAGAGAGAGAGAGAGAGGCCGACCGGCCGGCGGGCAGCCACACACCGGCCACTAGAACTTGCTCTGATGCTGGACGCTGTGACAACACCCTAGCTGATTGCTTTTTTGCCTCTACTGCGCCTCCATGGAGCACTCTACTGGCTACCGTCTTCCCCAGCAGGCCCACCGTGCTCCGACCCACCTCCAGCCCAAAAGGTGGGTCGGGGCATCTCATTCTCTCCCTCACGTGCATCCTCTGATTTACACAGATTTACGTCTGTTCACAAACAGTGTTTGAGGTGTCTTTTTTTTTACATAGGGTCATTAATAATGGGAATATAAGGAATAGGATTGTGGATCGGATAATTTGAATTCCTCTCTCGCTCAAAGTCCTTGTGGTGAGGCGAGATAGTAAACACACACAATCACTCAAGCGCTGCTCTTACTCCTGCCTGCGTAGGATGTGATCTGTACCTTATATATATATCGTCTACTCGTCTACATTGGCTGATAACTATCTACCTCACAGTGCAGCTGAGGGAGGTGGGGCGGCCACCTTGAGGGAGACCCAGAAAACTAACAAGTACAGGGACATATAGAACCTGGTTACAGGTTCGTGTCGATCGGCTCTGAGACTCTGGGCGCCTGAGGTAAATGTGTTTTTATGGGTTGACAGATGTTAATCTTCTAGTTTGAGGAGCTGTTCACTCGAGACAGTTAAGCAAGTCCCAGCTGTGTCTGGGTATAAGTGACAGGATGAACAACCCTGCGGGGTTTCTTCCTATTGGGGAGTGTTGTACATGCTGCTATGGCGGTGTGTCCACTCACAGGATGAGTGGTGCTGCCCAATACTGTCACTATGGCGGTGTGTCCACTCACAGGATGAGTGGCGCTGCCCAATACTGTCACTATGGCGGTGTGTCCACTCACAAGATGAGTGGCGCTACCTAATACTGTCACTATGGCGGTGTGTCCACTCACAGGATGAGTGGCGCTGCCCAATACTGTCACTATGGCGGTGTGTCCACTCACAGGATGAGTGGCGCTGCCCAATACTGTCACTATGGCGGTGTATCCACTCACAGGATGAGTGACGCTGCCCAATACTGTCACTATAGCGGTGTGTCCACTCACAGGATGTGTGGCGCTGCCCAATACTGTCACTATGGCGGTGTGTCCACTCACAGGATGAGTGGCGCTGCCCAATAAACTCGCCCCTTGGGACAAAATTAAAAAAAAAAAATGTGCACTTAACTTCCTAAAGGAGGTGGGTGAGGAACTCATTAGGAGAACTAAAGACTCAAGAGCGGCCAGTTTCCAGTTCCAGCGCCTTAGTGTCGCGATCTAGAAAGGAAATGCTCGCTGTATCCTAGGCGCACACCCAATCTCTGAAGAGCTGGATGAAGTCTTCGAAAAGAGATTGTTATATATGTGTTTGTGTTTTAATTAAGCTGTAGCAGTGTAATAAAATAAAATTAATAATAATAATAAAAAAGAGAAGAAAAATAATTGGGGTGGTAGGAGAAGAAAATACTTAAGTGTTCAGTGAGAATCCACAAGGTCTTCTCTAAATACTCTTTATTATCTTCTTCGAGGCTATGGGTCCCTATAATTGCACTAGAGGTGGTACCCCTTATATATATATATATATATATATATATATATATATATATATATATATATATATATATATATATATTGCTTCTCAATCTATATTGCAATATTTGCATCTTAATATATGATGCAATACATGCATTTCAACACGTTATAAATGTACACATGTAAACATATATTCAAACGTGTATGTTCAACATATGTTCCAACATACGCCTCTCAGTGTATGTTGTAACATAAGCTTTTCAATATTTGTTTCACCAAACCATGTAAGAACATGTTGAAACATATCAAAATATTTGTTGCACACATATATATATATATATATATATATATATATATATATATATATATATATATATATATATATATATATATATATATATATATATTGATGGAACTGTTGTAGCTAACACATTTATAGATATGCTTTATCATATACATTCATGGATATGTTGCTAAATAAAACTATTCCGGTTGACCAGACCACACACTAGAAGGTGAAGGGACGACGACGTTTCGGTCCGTCCTGGACCATTCTCAAGTCCTTGAGAATGACTTGAGAATGGTCCAGGACAGACCGAAACGTCGTCGTCCCTTCACCTTCTAGTGTGTGGTCTGGTCAATTTACTTTAGCCACGTTATTGTGACTCATCGCCTGCAAAACTATTCCGGGTTCCTCTTTCTCCCCCTTGTGAGAGCCGACAGTGACGCCAAGGTACCGATAGTGGTCAACATATTTTAAGTGTTACACCATTAATTTGTAGTTCGTCATTTGTCCCCCGCTTGTGATAGGTGTGTGCTTTTGTCTTGTTTGTGGAGAGAGTGAAACCGAGCTCAATACATTTCCTTCCAAGGAGTTCAATGGACTGTTTAATTTTTCCCAAGGTGGGAGCTTGTATTAAGACATCATCTGCATATCCCAATTGTTGTGTTCCTTCCGTAAATTTAATATTTGCCAAGACGTTCGTAAGTATGATGAATAGTATGGGGCTTAAGACTCCGCCTTGGGGGGTCCCAAGTTCCATACTCATTGTTCTTGAGACTGCTCCGTTGACGCAGACCTTGGCTTTCCTCCCTGTGATGAAGTCTTCAGTCTATTGCATGAGTCTCCCGTTGACACCCATGCATGCAAGCTCTTTAAGGATTGCAATCCCCTGCACTTTGTCGAAGGCTCCTTTGATGTCAACAAATACAGAATACTTAGTTGTGTCATTAGCCAGGTAATTAACTATACAATTGGTTGTACTCCGTCCTTTAACAAATCCATTGACCCCCTCCCCTAGTCTGTCTATTTTGTGCAACAGTCGGTTTAGGATGATCCTTTCATGCATCTTGCAAGTGCATGACACGAGACTGATAGGTCTGTAATTGCCAGGGTCATTAGGCTTCGGTATGGGGACGATTATTGCGTGTTTCCATTGTGTGGGCAACGCTCCACATAGGAAGGATTTGTTAAACAGGTGGAGTAGTGGATTCCCAGACACTTCACACAGTGCATCTTGAGAGTTAAGTTCAGATACTGATGTTCACATGTATTTAATATCCAATCTAAGATGTCTTTTCCAAGAAGCTGAGCTACAAAAGTCGGTATTTCTTCCCAGTGCATGTATATTGGTTTCCCCTCAGGTACCGATGCCTAGATCTTATATACTGTCACCTCAAATGCAGTAGAATAACAGAGACAGCATCTTAAGTTTCAGTCAGTCTCACTGTATTGATAAGTGTTATCCAGCCTTGAATCAGTTAGGTTCAACAATGTTATACATTTCCCACACACTTTAAACAAGAAAATGTCAATGTAAAAAAAAACTAAACTAAATATGTAAATACCTTTTCTTTCACTCGCAAGTTTCTTACTACGCTCATTCATCCCTGAAACCCGACTCCCAGCGAGCTAGATCTTAGCCCACACACTTAGCACTTGCTTACTGATAACAACGAAATACTTAAAAACACGAAATTACTCCTATACTCTCGACGCGGTCAAGAGACGCCCAGCGCGCGCGTGTGAGTGTGGAAAAAAAAGTAGTTAGTAAACAGTTGATTGACAGTTGAGAGGCGGGCCGAAAGAGCAAAGCTCAGTGCAAGTTTCTCACCAAGTGGTAATCTCGTGACACATTCCATAGTCTCTTGTCCTTCTGGGGTTTCTCCCGTAGTCTCTCCTTCCAAAGCGTCGACAGTAGTCTCTCCTCCTGAGGTGTTTACCGTAGATTGCCCTTAAATCTTTCTCGTAGTCCTCTTACAGTCAGGCATTCTAAAATCTCGTACCCAAATGCTACAACATGGTGGGTTAAGGCTTCTCTGTGGCGCCACGACATGAGGCCACAGGTGCACCATGGCCTCATGTTCTCCCATGTTCACCATGGGGGAACGTGCAGTGGGGCAATAGAGGGATTGAGCGTGATGTGGTTCAAGGAGCAAATGAGGATGAGGGATGATGTAGAGGAGCTGGAGGATGGTGCAGGGATGGGGGATGTTGCAATAGAGGGTTATGAGGGGGGATGATTGGAGATGGTGCATAGGATAAAGGAGGGGATGGTGTAAAATAGGGAAGTATGGTATAAGAAAATTGCAGAATGGGAGATTATATGTAAGGAGGGGTTAGGGGGGGTCTGGGAAATGGGGAAATTAAGGGGGGGTGGGGAGGAATGGAGGCAGGCAGCTGGAGAGGGTGCCAACAAAGAGAGCATTCTGCCAAGTACCGCTTCAGGAAGAAGGGATGTCTTGATCTGACGAGGAGGGGGGGGGGGTTACCCCCCCTTCCCCACGTACCACTATATTGACTACCACCCACTGGCACTCTCCCCTCCATCCCCCTGCTGCTCCCTAGCACCCACCGACTGGCATTCTTCCCCGCATTAGTGACTGACACCCCGAGTCCAGCAGTCCGTCACTCCCCCCTATACCACCACCCACTGGCATGGCTCTCCCACCACCCCCACCTGTCACTCACACCCCACTATCATGCACCCTCATGACGTCCTCCACTACAGGCACCCCTACACTAGTACTCTTACACTCTGGCACCCACCGCGCTGTGCCACCCTCGCTCTACACTGTGGCACCCTCGCTCTACACTGTGGCACCCTCGCTCTACACTGTGGCACCCTCGCTCTACACTGTGGCACCCTCGCTCTACACTGTGGCAATGTTAACCTCTCGGGCCGCCTCCGAGCTGGGTGTGGAATGTCATCCTAATGTTCTTTAGTCTTGTCCGTGACTGGGTATGTGCTTGTTGATGTGCTTGTGACTGGGCATGTGCTTGTTGATGTACTTGTGACTGGGCATGAGCTTGTTGATGTGCTTGTGACTGGGCATGTGCTTGTTGATGTGCTTGTGACTGGGCATGTGCTTGTTGATGTGCTTGTGACTGGGTATGTGCTTGTTGATGTGCTTGTGACTGGGCATGAGCTTGTTGATGTGCTTGTGACTGGGCATGTACTTGTTGATGTACTTGTGACTGGGCATGAGCTTGTTGATGTACTTGTGACTGGGCATGTGCTTGTTGATGTGCTTGTGACTGGGCATGTGCTTGTTGATGTACTTGTGACTGGGCATGAGCTTGTTGATGTGCTTGTGACTGGGCATGTGCTTGTTGATGTGCTTGTGACTGGGTATGTGCTTGTTGATGTGCTTGTGACTGGGCATGAGCTTGTTGATGTGCTTGTGACTGGGCATGTGCTTGTTGATGTACTTGTGACTGGGCATGTGCTTGTTGATGTACTTGTGACTGGGCATGTGCTTGTTGATGTACTTGTGACTGGGCATGTGCTTGTTGATGTGCTTGTGACTGGGCATGTGCTTGTTGATGTGCTTGTGACTGGGCATGTGCTTGTTGATGTACTTGTGACTGGGCATGTACTTGTTGATGTACTTGTGACTGGGCATGTACTTGTTGATGTACTTGTGACTGGGCATGTACTTGTTGATGTACTTGTGACTGGGCATGTACTTGTTGATGTACTTGTGACTGGGCATGAGCTTGTTGATGTACTTGTGACTGGGCATGTACTTGTTGATGTACTTGTGACTGGGCATGTACTTGTTGATGTACTTGTGACTGGGCATGTACTTGTTGATGTGCTTGTGACTGGGCATGTACTTGTTGATGTGCTTGTGACTGGGCGTCAACAGTCACGTACTTGACTGTTGACGTACTTTAATCTGTGAAATAATAATTTGTTCAGTCGTTGTATTCGTATCTGAAAGTTTTCAGAATTTTTTTTTGCCTCAGTATACTTTATTTGCTATGGCCTCTTCATTTGTGGTTTGTTCATCGGTTTACGCGTGTCGGTGTTCTTTGAACAACACATGTTGTTCAAAGCAATATTAAAAAAGTGAACATTTGTGAACTGGAATAATCTGTTACGGTAGAACAATGTTCATTGTGTCCTTAATGTGTTTGTCCTTATATTCAATATTGTTAAGGTTTCCAGCTTCTGTAGCACCCACTGTCTAGCCCCCTGGAGCCTCCAGCAGCTGTAGCACCCACTGTCTAGCCCCCTGGAGCCTCCAGCAGCTGTAGCACCCACTGTCTAGCCCCCTGGAGCCTCCAGCAGCTGTAGCACCCACTGTCTAGCCCCCTGGAGCCTCCAGCAGCTGTAGCACCCACTGTCTAGCCCCCTGGAGCCTCCAGCAGCTGTAGCACCCACTGTCTAGCCCCCCCTGGAGCCTCCAGCAGCTGTAGCACCCACTGTCTAACCCCCTGGAGCCTCCAGCAGCTGTAGCACCCACTGTCTAACCCCCTGGAGCCTCCAGCAGCTGTAGTACACACTTCCAGCAGCTGGACCAGCGGCTGCAGCACCCGCTGCGTCCTATTTGGAACTTCCTGGAACCTCCATCAGCTGGGGCAACCACAACATTCTTCTGGGTGTAAATAATAGGGTGTTAAATATATAAACTCAAATTGAAACACGAAACAATGAATACAAATTGGATAAGTTCAGCTTCGGAAAAAAATGTGTAAACGCTTATCTGAAATAGGCTTGTAGATTTACTGAACGAGTTGTCGAGTATTATAATTGGCGAGTTGTGTATTGGTCTGTTTCTTGGCTTGTTTCTTGGGCTGTGTCTCAGTCTGTGTCTTGGTCTGTGTCTTAGTCTGTGTCTTGGTAAGCAGTGAAGAACTGCAGCGAGGTACAACAGTGAGGCACTACAGTGATTCTCAAGACTGTTCTTGAACAAATTAAATATTCCACTTTCCTTTTTTTTCATCTTTTGAGGCAGTTCAACGTTACATAGATGTCCCTCTGTGCTCAGTGAACTTACAAGAACCCGATTTCACCGAACACATTGGAATCGAACTACTATACTTCCTAGACTACATACGGGTCCAGGGATGTGAATTCGATCCCTTCATACAGCATCAATACTTTCTCTCAGAGTCCTCTCCTAACATTTCCGAGTAAGCCAGAGGACTCAAACAGAAAACGAGAAAGTACATCACTTTTGTGAGCCGATTTCATTTAAAATTACGTCCATTTTTGGCCATATCGACGTTATTTTTAAAAGAACGGATTAACCGCGTTATGAGGCTAGACACCGAGTATACAGTATAGTACCCCATGGAGACCTAAATTTCCTTTGTATGTTTCTGATGTTGGTTTGGTAGTGGGAGCTGGTGGAGGGGGAGGCGGTGGCATTTCACATATCCATACATTAAAACATTGATTGTAACCATGATATATATGTGCCTACAGTTTAGACCTATTGTCTTGTGTATGACCCTCTGTCCTGCGTGACAGTGAATACCAGCATTATCCTCACTTTAATAAGACTTTATCACAATCCTCAGATTAGTCAAAATTGTAATTAATTTTGTCAATAAAGATGTTAAAAATAATAATAAGAGAGAGAGCGAAAGAGAGAGACAGAGAAAGTAAAATGGGAGGTACAGGGTAAGTGGTTCATCAGCGATCAGTTTCCCCGACCATGGCAACTGCCACAGAGAATGTGTGCTTATCCAACAGTACTTATTTAGCAGAGCGGCCGTGGCCGAGCTCTAATTCCTGGGCCTTGAAATTTCGACATGTCGGCCGTCCAACGCTGTGACGGCCTTTGTTTATCATCACTTCTGATTTCAGCCCGTCCTCCAAAAATGGGGCGGTATATGTAACAGTACAAATAAGTGCAATTATGTACTATTCATAACAGTCAGGAATTGTACTTATTTTCACTTAGTATTAAATCGTAGTCAGATATATTGTGAATATTTGAGTTAATATTCTGACCTGAAAAGTTGAATAGAAAACCACGACCTCACCTAACCGTCTTAGTGTTTGAAGATAAGCATTTTATTGCTTCTTAATTACAGTTAGTACTTAACCTATAGCTATATTGATATTACAGTTTTATAAAACTAATAAAACAAAACAAAAATATATCAGTAAATTGTAAAGTAACTCAGGATATTTCCAAATTTTGTATAAAATCTCTATTGTTTAATAAAACTGAAAAAGACATTCCCGATATTTAAAACTTGTGTATAGCGAATTTAATTTTAAAATTTCATCCTTAAAGTCTAGCTTAAGTGTCTTAACAGAAAACGAGGAGAATAAATGGGGAGGTAAATGTAACATCCCCATAAGTGCAATTATGTACTATGTATGACAGTAAGGAAATGTACTTATTATTAAACCGTACTGTCAATTCGGAGGATGAGTTGTCTGATTTATGAGGTTACGTATGTTTACAATTACAGTGCCTCTAGGCACGGCCAGGGGATGCTTTCTGGCATTCGGTATACCAACGGGTTTTCGTTGTTAGTATTCAATTACACTTACAGATTGTACCTTAGTTGCATGTAATGCCTCAATTTGTTCGTAATCACCTACTTGTGCTTGGGGGGGGGTTGAGCTTCGGCTCTTTGGTCCCGCCTCTCAACAGTCATTCAACTGATGTACAGATTTCTGAGCCAATTGAGCTTTATCATATCTACATTTGAAACTGTGTATGGAATCTGCCTTCATTACATCGTGTGTGTGTGTGTGTGTGTGTGTGTGTGTGTGTGTGTGTGTGTGTGTGTGTGTGTGTGTGTGTGTGTGCGTGCGTGCGTGCGTGCGTGTGTGTGTGTGTGTGTGTGTGTGTGTGTGTGTGTGCGTGCGTGCGTGTGTGTGTGTGTGTGTGTGTGTGTGTGTGTGTGTGTGTGTGTGTGTGTGTGTGTGTGCGTGCGTGTGTGTGTGTGTGTGTGTGTGTGTGTGTGTGTGTGTGTATGTGTGTGTGTGTGTGTGTGTGTGTATGTGTGTGTGACTCGTTTGAGATTCATATATTGACATCTTTTTCCTTCTTTACAGAAGATAACAAAATTCTGTCATTTTTAGTGAAAAGACGAAGATTCGTGTGGCCGCAATAGGATCGACTTGAGATCGAGGCCAAGAGAAGCAGGAGGAGGGAACCTGAAAGCATTATACTACTTTGTGTTCGTGTAATTTATTCATTGATGTAAGAGGCATTATGACTGGCGACAGTAGAGGGAAGGCGGGGAATTAAACGACCCAATCACTCGGCACCAACAACCACGTGGGCCGCCTCTTCACGACTCTCACCTCAACTAAGGTTCAGTGTGCTGGGAGGAGGTGACCATCCTCAGGCCACAGAAAATGGGGTCTGGTGCTATTGCGCACAGAGATAGACGGTCGAGAGGTGGGTACCAGGAGCTAAGATCTCAATATCCGCCCACAAGGAGCTCCAACGATCATGACTACCCAATTCCAGCACCAGTCATCACAACCTTAACGGCTGCGGTTGTCACTATTTAAGGAACGTCTTGAACATGTTGATGACATGTCTTGTGGGAATCTGAAGATTCCTACAATCCTAATATTCCCACAGTCTTAAGAATGTAAATCTTAAATCTTAAGATTAGGTACACCAGTTGTTTAGCCATGAAGACCCATTACCTTCCACCCATTCCTCCCCATGCGCAGTCTTGTACCCCAGCATAACCTACCCTAATCTACCATCTCTAATCTACCTTCGCTCACTTTATTCTGCGTTCACTATCTCTAGTCTACCTTCACCCATTGTAATCTACGTTTATCTCCCTCTCTCTAATCTGCGTCCAATCACTGTGATCTACGTTCATTATTATCTAATCGTCGTTTAACCTCCTCTCTAATCTACGTTCTTCCAGCTTACCAACGTTCACCGTCTATAATCTCCGTCCATCCAGTCCAATATACGACTATGTACCGTCTTTATGTACCGTCCATCTAATCAAAGCTTCACCACATCCTCTCCAATCTACATTCACCCCCTACACTCTACTCCCACCCTCTTTTTTTTTTGGTCCAGTGTCCAATCAATAACATCTACATCTACCGCTACTGGTATTCCTTGATCCAATCTCTAATTTTCTGTAGATTGCACTGCCAATGTACTTGCATTAACGTGCATTGAGCAGCTAATATACTCACACTGAGCAGTCAATATACTCACACTGAGCAGTCAATATAGTTACATTGAGCAATTATTTATTTCAATAGTCCAGTGAATACGTCTTGTGGGTGGGTGTAGACTTGCTTTTCACTTCTGAGGTATTATAGGAACTCGAACGATGAATCCAGTATTTAGTCAACTTGGAGACTCGAACCTGGACAGCCTGAGAGGCAGCCTCGTTATCAAACGCCTTTGGCCAATAGGGGAACGAATCTCTCTATAATAATTTAAGTTTGCAATTTTCGTCGTTTGAACTCTCTTTTTTTGGCGATCTCGGTTGCTTGCTCCGTAGCAGAGTGGGCTCGGGTAGACTCAATATAACAATTTGACTCCAATAACATGTTACAATTTAATTTTAATTATCAAGATGATCTTTCAGGTTGTTGCTGCAAGAGTTGTGTTACATAGCACCGTCGTTAATGACATTACAATATTCGTTGTCTCATTATCTTGAGATTATCTTGAGATGATTTCGGGGCTTTAGTGTCCCCGCGGCTCGGTCCTCGACCAGGCCTCCACCCCCAGGAAGCAGCCCGTGACAGCTGACTAACACCCAGGTACCTATTTTACTGCTAGGTAACAGGGGTATAGGGTGAATGAAACTCTGCCCATTGGTTTTCGCCGGCGCCTGGGATCGAACCCAGGACCACAGGATCACAAGT